GCTGCTGCCCGAGGGCTCTCTGTGTGGGTGGTTCTGTGGAGCAAACTTCTTTCTGGAACAGCTGTTCCTGGTGTCGCGGAGCCTCAGGCTTCTCTAGCGGGTCCTCGTGGATTGGCGTGTCGTAGAGGGGAAGCAGGGGGATTGACAGAAGCGGCTGGGGCTCCCAGACTGCTAGTTTCCCAGAGGTTCGGGGGCAGGGGCCGCTGGACACGTGGGGGTGCTGGAAGACTGGGGCAGGGCGCGCTGAGGCGTGAGTGGAGCCACCCTGCCCACCTGCCCTTTGTGCCCTGTGGTTCTGCAGCCCTAGCAGGGGGGTCCGGAGTGATGATCCCGCCTGCCCCGCCCCAGACGCTGGCCCTCCGCCCCGCCCCTGCACTGCCTAGGGAAGATGGCCCAGGTGCTGGCAGCTTGGACAGGGCGTGGCTGGGCGGTGAGAAGTGGTCCGCGGAGGGGAGCCCCATCACAGCGCCCAGCCGCAGATTGCCCCCATGCGGTGGGGGGGGGGGGGGCGGGAGGGGTCCGGTGCTGGCTGGGTGCCGCCTGAGCAGCTGGAAGATGAAGGCACCAGTGACCGGGAGAGAAGGCCCCAGTGGGGCGGAGGGGAAAGGGTTGGCAATAGGTTGTTCTTCAGAGGCCTGGTCGGTGAGAGGTCCTCTTGGAGCTCCAGGGGCAGGGACGGTGGGAGCCAGAAGCTCTGCCCATCTGGAGTGGAGGGGAGAGGCTAGAGACTTCCACATGTTGAAAGGTCTGTAGATGACACAGACCCACGGACATCCACGTACAAACAATGCATCTTTCTGATAGAGTAAGCGCTCTGCGCCTGCTGGTGCCCCCACAGCCTCTGAGTTATTAGTCCTTGACCAGAGATTCTCGGGTCAAGCTGAAGCCAGGCAGCTGAGGGGCACTGGCTGCTACTCTGTGAGGCCAGAGACTATATTGAGCCCCCAGGGAGACAGAGCCAGCAGTGAGCACAGAAGAGACACAGGAACTTGGGGATGGGGGGTAGGGCAGAGACTGCGAGGGGCTCGATGGGGAGAAGATATTGTGTTCATCCAGGCTCCCCCTGGGGGCCAACCTCCAGTAGCAGCCTGCAGTCTTCCTCAAGCCCAAATCTGCTGTCACTCTGGTCAGTCCCTTCCCATTATCCCCAGGAGGAAGGCTGTGATCTGGGTCTGACACACAGCCCCTCATTAACCTTCTGCAGACCTCTCTACTCACATGTCTCTGGAAAGCTCTAAGTGCCACGGGGCGAGGGGGGGCTACACAGTCCCACACCCCCTGTCTTTGCACCTGGAGGGCCCTGCAAGCCTCCCCACTGCCCTCTTCTGGGCACAAGCGGTCAGCACCTCTTACTCAGCACTGGGGGCCTGCTCGTATTATGGGCTCTCTGTTGGTTAGAATGCTGCCCTTCTGCCCAGCCACTCCCCACTGAGGCCACGAGAGCCATGTCTGTGGCTGGGATGTTTCCGAGTCTCCATGCCACCAGTGCTGGCATGAGGCCAGGGTCAGACCAATGATTGTGTTGGAAACGAGAAACGGATCACTGCACCCACTTGGCAGAGGAGAACACAGGCCTGGGCATGCGAGCTTGCTAGTCAAGGATGTACAGCCCACCAGTCAGAGCGTCTGAGCAGCTGTCCCACATGCACATGGCTCAGGAGGGGAGGGAAGGAATGGCCGTCAGATGCCACAGGCCAGTCTGGTTGGTACTGGAAGGTATCAAGGACCGCGTCTCTTTGTCACTCATCCGATGAGACTCTGCTTGAGTCACAGATGGGCTCTGGCCCGTGGTACTGACTCCTCTCAAGGGTCCCAGCTCAGCAGTGACCCTCCCTGGCTCCCAGGCTGGAGAACTGCCCAGCGGGCAGAGGTGGGTGGTGTCTGTCACGTGTCCTCTTCAGAGGGGCCCCTGGGGACCGAGGCTGGTTCCTGCTGCCTTTAGAGTCTGCTCAGCGGCTCCTGTGAGGGCAGCAGATGTCCTTCCATCTCTCTGACCCTGGTGGACAGCAGTGTGACCTTGGGGACCTTTGGTATAAATGGCAGCTCATTCTACGAAGTCTTTCTAGGGGATGAAAAGGCTCTGCCAGCAGGTTCTTTGTGGTGGTGAAAGCTGTCTTAGGGTGTGGTAGAGAGACCACTGACCTAGGCCATGCCCCGGCCCCACCACCAAATTACCCTGGGACTCTGGACTCAGCCCTGGCCTCTGTGCCTCAGTTTCCTCTTCTGCACACAGCAGTACTGCCTCAGAAGTTGTCACAAGGGTACCAAGTACTTAGATAATCGTGCTGAGCACAGCAAGGGTGAGCCTGGCACGTCTAGAATGTTCCGTGGGGAGGGAGACCCACACACGATGCAGACAGGATGTGATGAGGGACATGAAGAAGGCACCATGGATGGCTCCCCGGGGGCATGGGGAGGGGAGTGGCAAAGATAATTCCTTGCAGTAGGCTCAGCTGCAGGTGCTTCTGGGTCAGCAGGAATGGACATGGTGGGTGGCCCTGGGGCAGAAAGCCAGGCCCACCAAGCCAGGGGCTTAGGCTGCATCCTGAGGGCGTGGATCTCCAGAGTCAGCTGTGCCCTTTGGCACCTGCTGGGACCACCAGAGAGGGTGGAGGGACGGGTGTGGTGTGGTGATGGTGGGAAGTTGGGTGGGGCTGAGAGTAGGTGGGCTGGTCCTGGGAGGAGCCTGACGCTCAGGCCTCTGCTCTTCTGTCCCTCCACCTGACTCCCCCACCCCAGGTGCATCTGATGAAGCCCGATGCCGTCCCCAAGGCCTGCTGTGCTCCCACCAAGCTGAGCGCCACCTCAGTGCTCTACTACGACAGCAGCAACAATGTCATCCTGCGCAAGCACCGCAACATGGTGGTCAAGGCCTGCGGCTGCCACTGAGCCCACCCACCGCCCCACTGAGCCAAGGCCATGGGAGGCTGTACAGGCAGGAAATCCATAAGTGTGGCGGTGGTTCAGGCAGGGTGGGAGGGAGGCCCTCAAGGGTAAGCACATCACAGCCAAAATCTTGCTGGGATTCTGTTCTGTCCCTGGGGGCGTGTGCCGAGGGAGATCTCTGGGGTCAGCACCAGGGGACTGCCCTATCCTGGAACCTGTCAATGCTGGCCTAGGCTGTAGCCGCCCAATGCATTTGGGAGCCCCCAGAGCTGGAGGGGGGCAAGCTCCAGCTTTGCCCTTCACCAAGGGTCAGGTACAGAATGGGCCTTGCCTCCGTACAGGGGATTCTGGAACCTCAGCCTGCTCTGGGCAAAACACCTTTGCAAGGCAGGAACAGGAGTCAGTGGGCCTGGTAGCCTCAGGATAGTCAATGGGGATGTTTGATGGCATTTTCCTGTCTTCTGGCACTAGGCTGCTTGTGGGGGAGGTATGATGCCAGGGCACCTAAGAACCTTGGAGCTGCCTGTTTCACCAAGTTTTCAACATGACATCCTATTTGGAGCTCAGCTCTGAGACTCTGCAGAGCAAGGACCACAGCAAGTGCCTGGTGGTTCTGGCTGCCAAGAACTGGAAACCCCCTTGCCACCAACATCCCTCATCAGATGGGGCTCTTTCCCCACCAAACCAGGACAGGGCCTCAAACCATCTGCAGAACTCCAGGCAGGGAATGAAATGGCTGGGCAGGATGCAAGCATGGGCAAGCTGGTGCCCACCAGCTTGTAGGCATCTGGCTCAGGCTAGTCAACAGTCTGTGTCCTGTGTGCCCAAGAGCCCTGTCCTCCTTCCCAGACCCTGGGAGCCCAAGTAAAGGCCGTTGTCCCAGGGGAGTGACAGGTGGTAATTAAGCTGAGCTGGGTGGGCAGGTCTGTTTAGGCCCCAAGGTTCCCGGAAACCACTCTTCTCCTTGGAGCAGCTGCTGGGAGTTAGCGTGTTTATTTGATTTCTGACTTACTAAGCCTGTTATTAACCTGTGGGCAAAGACAGAGTCCAGCTGTGTGAACCCTGGGAGACCGTCATTAAAAGCAAGGTGAAGGTGGGACTCACACCTTCTGAGGAGGGGCCTCTGGGAGGGCAGGTCTGGTGGGGGTGGGGCTCTGCTGGGGGATAGCAGCCCCAACAAGGGAGCTGGGAGAAGGTCCTCTGTACACAGAGGTTGTCAGGTAGTGAGTTCCCCATCAGCCAAGGGCTTCTAGCTCAGGCTGCTGGAAGGTGTAGGTGTGTCACTGGCCCAAACATCAGACTCAGCTTCCAGTTCAGCCCTTGACTTGCTTGGTTTGTGGATTAAGTCCCTGGCCGTATGTACCCCTGCTGGTTTCCCAACAGCCTTCCAGTCAGACTGCGCTCCCCCGCACTGCCCTCTCCCAACCTGCTTCAGGCTCACAGCCCAGGTACTGAGACTGCCCTGCCTGTAGGCCCGTTTGCAGCTCTCCACTCCAGCGTGCAGGGCCCTGGAAATTAGCTGATTACCTTGACAACTAAGTGTCCTATTTGATGTCTTCAGTACCACCCACGTGCCAGGAGCCTGACAGGAAAGCTCTGAAGGCCCTGGCTCTCCCGTTTCATGCTACGTCAAGTGGAGCAGCCCTGGTTTGCTTGACAACAGTCTGCCCCCCACTACCACCCCTGCCCCAACACAAACGAAGTCAAAGGCTCCGAGAAGTGAGACCACTGTGGGCACAAAACCCTGAGGGGGCCAGCAGGGCTCAGACCCAATTATCAAGACCACTTGGCTACCTGCTGCCTCTGCAGCTGACTGCCTTCCACGATGCACACCAGACAGATTAAGGCCAACTCACCCAGGCCCCTGGCAGCAATCAGGATGACAGGGAAGCCACAATGAGCCACTTAGCACAGGAGGTGGGGGGCAGGGATGGCCAAGTCTACCTCGGCCAGCTTTGTATCTGTAGTACTGGCCTCAACACCAGGTCCAATGTCCTCCTGTCGAGAAACTCCCTACAACTTCACAGGTGCTATCAGGTTCCCTGCCTTGTGACTGATTAGGCTGCTCTTCAGCCTGTGCCCTTGAGGACAGACAGCATAGTGGGTCTGCCTTGATGGGAGGTCCAGCTTGTTCAGAGACAACGCTGTTGCAACCGACTCAGTGTGTGCTGAGGTTGTTGGGTCATTTCTTTAGAGCTGATTTTCCTAGGTGCTCAGCTGGGACTCCTGTGGGGGCAGGCTGGGAGTGCTTTGCCTCTACTCAGGGCATGGTGGGTCCTGCCCCCGAGATGCTGGTATCTCGCCCCTCTGCTAGCAGAACAGCATCCAGTGGTGTCCCTGCAGGAAGCTGAGGACCAACTTCTGATCCCAGGCTCCTCTTCCTAGTGGGAAGCTTAAGCATTTGACCTTCCTTTTCCTAACTCAAGATGCATGTGCCAGAGGAACATCTGAATACAAAAGGAACAGGAACACCCACAATACCCTGCAGACAAGTGCTTACTATTCCTTCCCACCCTCCTCTGCAGCACTTTGTCTTTATGTGAAATAGGTCTTGTAAAAGTTCCGATCAGACGTGTTGTTTGAGATGCTTTATTCAGTGTCTATTTTGAAAATGTCACGGAGTACCTTTGGGAACATCATTTCCAGGTGGCCCAGCACGGGAGTTCTCTGAGGCCCTTTTCTCACCGGAGGCTCGTGCTACGGCCCCAGGGCTCAGGAAGCTGAGTTCCACCAGGCTTCCCACTAACCCCCAATCCCTCAGCCTGACACTGGGCTAACACAGAGGAGGCACAGTCCTACTGAAGGAGCTAGGGGCCCAAGGGTCAGGTGACCACTTGCACAAGGGTGTTGAAGTGGTCTGAGACAGCCCCTACACAGCAGGAGTTTTCTGGCCTGTCCCCTTCCCAAAGCCATCAGGCAAGTGCAGGAAGTGACACATTCCCGAGACATGTTTCCCTCTTGCAGCCTGAGGCCAGCCTGCTCCCTCCTCCACCACCCAGCACCCCTGAAGCCCTCACAGTGTGCTCCCCACCATCCTCTTCTCTCCCGGAGGCCGAACAGCCTGGAGTGTCAGGGTGCCTGTGCCAGATTCTGAGCTGGGACTGTTCTCCGTACACAGCAGGTCAAGGTAACAGAGCCACACTGATGAGTGCCCTAATGGCAAGGTCCAGGAGCTGACCTCAGGGTCCTTGGCAAGGCAGGCAGCAGCCTTCCCTGCTTCAGATCTCAACCCTAGACGAGAACATGGCCTAAGAGGCCAGCCCAGCAATTTTGAAGGGGATCTCAACCCCAGAACTGCCCGGGAGCGGGCAGGGGTGCAGGTGGCAATCCTGGAGGGGGCTCAGCTGCAGAACAAGATGAATGGGGGTAGGGTGAGAGGGCGGCCTAGCACAGCTGCAAATCGAGGTCGAATGCAAGTTCCAGGTGGAAGGAGGGTGGGGGCTCAGGAAGACCACTGTCTCGTCCCTTATGTCCTCCCCACCCCAGTGTGTGGCCAGAGGGCACTAAACCCTGCGTTGGTAACACCCTCATGACTCAGTCACTGAGGGAACAGAGAGCCTGAGGAGCCCAGAGCCCAAGTAAGGCCCCATGAGACCCACTGGCAGTGTGGTGAGCTACTTACTATGGCCTTTCTAACCACAGGCTTTGTAGGTCCACCAAATGACTGGGAAGGGATATGCAAATGTGAGGTGCCTGTGATCCACTCAGGGTATTGGCAAGCTTTCGAATGCCAATAAGGTCTGTGGAACCCTAACACGGTATTGGCCAGTTTTGTCATTCTACTAGTTCTAAAGTTGGAAAGGGGAATGTCACAATCAAATAAGAGCCAAGAGTGGAGCACATCCTTTAGACCCAAGATCCTATGCAGAATCACCTCGATCCAGGAGACAGCTGTGCCATCAGAGATGAGAGGCAGGGGAAGAAGCAAGAGACCAGCAGAAGACCCACAGAGCGAGCAATCCGAGCATCTTTGGGCAGGTAGCTTACTGTCAGGAGTGTCTGGCCCCAAAGAGCTGTGTAATGCATGTCAGAAGGGCAGAGGCCAAGAGACTCACAGGGCCAGAAAGAGGTGTGCCTACAGGCGTGGAAGAGAAGAGGCTGCCTGATCAAAGAACTGTATCCTGAGTTGTTTCTGATGCTGAATTGTAACCTATCACTTCCCTTATAATCCCCATATCGTATGATCTGTGAATTCTGTGGGGCCGCTGCAATGAATTACTGAACCTAGCAAAGAAGCAGAGTAGCCATGGTCGGGTGGGTTGGTACAGCGTTGGTAAAAAGGCTGTAAGGTGGAGCTATGTCTGAGTTCTGCCTCACACCTCACAGGAATCAGTCTTGGGCTGTGGAAGCTGATGGTACTGATTCTCTCGCCTCCCAGTGAAGTTAGAGGTCCGCCACTGGTACAGAACGAGGGCAGGCTGGTGTCTGGCTGACCTAACTCCACTGCCCAGCGGATGAGAGAGACTTTATCACCACCTCTGACATCCACTGCCCTGCAATGGTCCGCCAGGGGTGTTTGTTTCTTGAGTCTTCTGTGGGAAGTCGGAAGCAGCAGGGATGGTGCCGTGGCCCATCCAGGCAGACAGCTCAGTTGCAGCTGCAGCCTTTGAAAACACCTGGGATCTAGCCAGCAGGCAGCAGTACAAGAGCCAGGATTTATTTCACCAGAAGAAAACATCCCGGAAGGCCAGGAGCGGCCCTGGAGAAGCCAGTAACTGTCCACAGCTGTCCACAGTGGGGAGGGTGGGTGCCTGTGCTGGGGGAGCCCAGGGGAAGTCCGGGCCATGCTGCAGAGGCGGTGCTCAGCCATATGCTGCTGCTTCAAAGGAAGGAACACCCTGAGGGGCTCCCTGCTGCTTCCCCTGCAGACCTGAGGGCAGAGCCGAAAACGCCTGGATCAAACATATTCTCCACAGTCGGCGATGATCACTTTCTGCTTAGGCTTCCCGTCCTTGCTGCCCTGAGCCTGTGTGTAGGACAGAGGAGGAGAAATCAGGGAAGGGAGGGGGTGGGAATAAAGGGTGCTCCCCACCCCCACCCCACCCCCCGGTACCTGCTTCATCAGAGAAAGGCTGTGGGCCTTCCCAAGTTCCCTCAGCTCTCCAGCAGTGCAGAAGGGTGTTTACGCAGACCACCTACCTCAATCTGCCGCACGACATCCAGGCCTTCGGTGACCTCCCCAAACACCACGTGCTTGCCATCCAGCCAGTCCGTCTTATCACAAGTCAGGAAGAACTGGGAGCCATTGGTGTTTGGTCCGGAGTTGGCCATGGAGAGAAGGCCTGAGGGAAGGCACAGCTGAGTGGGTTCCCTGCACCCTGGGTCCTGGCCTCAGAAACTCCACTCCTGGGGCCAGCTAATGCTCAGTGAAACGAAGTAGCATCTTTGACCCAATCATTTTATTCTGGTTTGTCCTTTGTTCTCATTTATTTCACTAACACTTGTCAAATGTCTGTGTCATAAGCAAGCCTCTGAGCCCCAGGGACACTGGTGAGCCCAGCAGGGTCCTGGCCTTTGGGGAGCTCAGTCTCCGGGAAGAGAGTCACTCCAAGGAGAACTGTGCTGTGTCTCCAGAATGCAAGGTTGACTTAACATCCAGACACTATTCACTGCACACCCGAGTGATACAGGATTACACCAACAGACACAGAAAAAGCACTGGACACAACCCACCACCCTTTCAGGAACAGAAACACTCAACAATCTAGGAGCAGATGAGAACGCCCTCCAGCTGCAAGGGAGCATCTGAACACCCTTTCAGATCAGACACAGGACAGGGATGTCTGTGCTTGGTGCTCGGCCAGGCAATTAGGCCAAAAATAAGAAGACTCGTTTCAACTGGAAAGGATGGCGCAAATGACCTCTATTTGCAGATGCCACAACCTCACATATGAAAAGCCTGGAGAATCCATCAGAACTAAAATGGAGTTGTATGATCAAAGCCAAAACTTACTGAATTTCTACATACTAGCAATGAACAACTGAAAAATGAAATCGAGAAAACAACTCCACTTATAGTTGCAACAAAATGTAATAAATACTTAGGAATAGATTTCCTTAAAGTATACAACCTCTACTCAGAAAACTGCATAAACCTGTTAGGAAAAATGAAAGACCTACATAGATGGAAAGACATCCTATGTTCATGGATCGGAAGACTTACTGTTTGTACACTAGCATTATTATTCTCCATCTTGAAATGTGGGCTCGGTGAAGAAAGCAGATGGTGCCCGGCTATCAAAAGATATAGCGTCTGGGGTCTTAAAAGCTTGAAGGTAAACAAGCGGCCCTCTAGCTCAGAAGCAACAAACCCC